AAAAAAAAAAAAAAAAAAAAAAAAAAAAAAAAAAAAACCCAACCTGGCTTTGACTCAAAATAACAACAACAACAACAACAATAATAAACTATCAATACCCAAAGTACTGGGCATGATGATTCATATCCTTTAGTCCCAGCACTCCAGAGGCAGAAGCAGGCAGATCTCAGTGAGTTTAGGGCCAGCCTGATCTACATAGCAAGTTCCAGGATAACCAGAGTTCATAGTGAGACCCTGCCTCAAAGCCAACCCAAACCAAAATAGAGCCAGCGAGGCTGCTCAGTGGTGAAGGTGCTCACCACTGAATGTGCGAGCCTGACAACCTCAGTTCAAGCCCTGGAACCCGAGTTTGGTCCCCAGAACCCAGGGAAAGTGGAAGGCCAGAATGGAGCTGCAAATTGTCCTCTGATCCCAAATGTGGCAGGGAAAACACCATCTACCCATACTTTAAAAAAAATAGAAAGTAAGTGTTGACCTGGCTAAGGTTTCGATTGCTGTGATAAACACCATGACCAAAAGCACCCCGGGCAGGAGAGAGGTTATTTCTGCTTACAACCACCAGATCACGCCACACCACTGAGCTAAGTGGGCAGGAACCTGGAGGCAGCAGCTGATGCAGAACCATTGAGGGTGATGCTAACTGGCCTGCTCCTCCTGGCTTGCTCAGCCTGCTTTCTTCTACCATCTGAGACTATCTGCTCATGGGTACTCCACCCCTAGTGAACCGCACCCTCCCACATCAATCATCAATCAAGAAAATTCATGGCAGGCTTGCCCACAGGCCAACCTAGTGGGAACATTTTCTCAATTTGGTTCCCTTCGCTCAAATGACTCTAACTTGGGTTAAGCTGACATAAAAGTAGCCAGCACAATAAGTAAATAATAAAATAATTTAAAATTAATTGTAACTATATGCAATATGGTATGATAATAATGAATTTCACTTCAATGAAACACAATTTAAATTACTTTAAATTTTAACTTAATTATTTTTTAATGTGTGCGTGGGGGATGGATCTCAGGGGCCCATGCATGCAGGGACAAGCTTTACCATGGCTTCTCCAGCCCTTTCAACATTTCACAGATCGCAACCACCATTCAAGTTCTTGGTAGCCATGTGTGGCTGGTGCCACGCGTGACTGGTGCCACACGTGACTGATGCCACACGTGACTGGTGGCATGATTGTTGAGGAAGACTCTTGTGGGCAGCAGCAGACATGGGAAGGGCCTTGTGAGAAGGGGGCGTGGTTGACTGGCAAGGGTGTTGGGCTGCTGCTGGCCTGGAGGCTTTCTGGCTATGGACTCCTCCCCTTCCTCCTCCTCCTCCTCCTCCTCCTCATCCTCCTCCTCCTCCTTCTCCTCTTCCTTCTCCTCCTCCATTGCAAAACTTGATCCTGGCTCCAAAGAACCTTGGAGGTTTCTGGAAACAGCCCAGTTTGGGGTATCACTCTTCACCAGCAAAGGGATGTATGGGAACATGGGGGTCAAGCTCCCTCGTGGGAGGAAGATGGGGCCTGGCCAGGATGAAGTGAGGGAAGGATGAAAGCTTGGTATTTTGTTCACAGATGTTTTTGAATTACTTTATAGTATGTGGCCTTGGCTGGTCCAGAACTCTTTGTCCATGTGATATAGTTTTTACATTAATGAAAAACCCCAAAGGATGGAAAACACACATTCACATAAAAGCTTGAATGTGGTTGCTGTGAGCAACAGCATTGCTCATCATAACCACAAGGTAGAGGACCATAATTAGCCGCTCACGGATGCGTGGGGAAGCCACGTCTCCTCCCAGTAACAGCCCTGTATTCACCAGAGAAGGAAGAAATGGGGATGAATCCATGCTCTGGAGGAGTGAGCTTTGCAAAAGAATGGTAAAGTTAGGCAGGCCTGGGGGGGGGGGGGGGGGGGGGGGGGGGGGGGGNGGGGGGGGGGGGGGGGGGGGGGGGGGGGGGGGGGGGGGGGGGGGGGGGGGGGGGGGGGGGGGGGGGGGCTGTGGCTGTCAGAGGCTGGGCTGGAGACCTGCACAGGGAGTGGCTGCACAGTAGATGTGGTTTCTCTTAGGATGATGAGAATGCTTGAAGTTGATTGGATAGTGTGACGCAGTGCTGGGATGCACTAAAAACAGCTCAAGAGGCAACAGGATGGCTCAGCAGGTAAATGTGCTTGTGGCCAAGTCTGACCACCTGGGCTCCCACACGGAGGAAGAAGGGAACTGACTCCTGCTGCTGGCCTCTGGCCTCAGCACCGGAGCTGTTAAACACACACACACTCACCCTCCCCCCCACTCCCCCCCACACTCACTCACACCCCCTGCACACCCACACTCCATTTGCCCTCCCACACTCACACCCACACACTCACCCCCCACTCACACATCACACACACACTCACACACACTCACCTCCACACACACACTCACCCCCACTCACCCCCTACACACCACACACACACTTACACACACACACACTCACCCCACCACAACACTCACACACACTCACCCCCCACACTCACACACACACACATTCAAAAAGATAAAAATATTGAGTGCTTTCATTAAGTAGTGATGAAGAAAATCATACTTGAGAAAAATTAAAAGATGCATTTTGGGGCTAGGGGTGTGGCTCCGTTGATAGAGTCCTTGCCCAGCATACACAAGACCCTGGGTTTGATCCCCGGAACTTCTTAAAATTGACTGTGGTAGAGGCAGGAAATCAGAAGTTCAAGGTCAACCTGTACTACACAGTAAGATTGTCTCAAAAAATAACACACACACACACAGAAGTGTGAAGTGTTAAGACACAAGTCTTAAGTCTTTCCTACTGTGAGTCTGGTGTTGGGTGGTACAGTGACCCCACTCACGGGTATGTGACCTAACTCTGCCCTTGAGAACTGGTCAAGGGGCCCAGAGCCTCTTGGTGCTTCAGCGGCCAAAGAAACCTGCTTTTAAAGTTCTCCTGCCCCAGGGCTGAAAACAACGGAAACCTTGGCAGTGGGACCCAGCGCTGCTCTCAGAGGCCTCCTGGTTGCTGATACTTCTATCCCAGGGCCCCTGGCCCCCGCTCCACCTCCCCCATCCGCCCTTCTGCTCACTCCCAGTTGCAGGCTATGGCTGCTGGTCCCGTCGCTCTCACTGCCATGAGGCCTGCACTTTGCAAGGCTGAAGTCCAAAGTTCAGTCCCTTCGCTAAGCACACGGATAAATATGAACCTTGGAGAATTTCCCCAGCTCCAATGTAAACAGAGCAGGCAGGGGCCCTGATTCACTGGCCGCTGGGGCCAGGGTTGGGGGTTGGGGGTGCCCACGGGGCTTGACTAGTGGGATTTGGGGGGGCAGTGGGTATAGCAAGCCTGGTTTGTGACTGCCAGCCTGCCGGCAAGTAGACACCGGCTGCGGGTGGGGGAGGCGGCTAGCTCAGTGGCCTTGGGCCGCGTGGCCTGGTGGCAGCGGAGCCATGGTTTCTAAGCTCAGCCAGCTGCAGACGGAGCTCCTGGCTGCTCTGCTGGAGTCCGGCCTGAGCAAGGAGGCTCTGATTCAGGCCTTGGGGGAGCAGCCAGGGCCCTACCTGATGGTTGGAGATGGTCCCCTGGACAAGGGGGAGTCCTGCGGTGGGAGTCGAGGGGACATGGCCGAGCTGCCCAATGGCCTGGGGGAGACGCGTGGCTCGGAGGATGACACGGATGACGACGGGGAAGACTTCGCGCCACCCATTCTGAAAGAGATGGAGAACCTCAGCCCGGAGGAGGCAGCCCACCAGAAAGCCGTGGTGGAGACACTTCTTCAGTAAGACCCCACCCTGTCCCCAGCACCCTGAAAGGAGTCCATAGCGGCCCACTTCCTGGCTAGAGTCCTCGGGAGCTGTGGCCTTCAGGCTGGTGGTCTCAGGGGAGAGAGCTCAAGGGGTTCTTGCTGGACCTGCTCCTCTGCTTGGTCCCATATACCCCATATCTTTGAGCGACCGTCTGCAGCCCGGTCCTCAGAAAGGAGGCACGGGCCCGAGGTCACTTTGAAACAGAGGACAAAGGAACCACAATGGTAGAATTCTTTAGCCGCTGTGGTCATTTGTGCTCCTACAAATTCTACCTTCTTTGCTAGGTGGTCATACCCCAGGTTTAGCAAAAAGCCTCTGAGAAGACCCGGCTGAGGTCAGGAATTTCAGGGGATTTCCTGACGCACCAGGGCCTTAAACATCTGACAGGGTGAGCCGGGGGTTTTCTTACCTGAGGCAGATGGTGCCTAGGAACGGCCACTTCCCTGCATAGCCACAGCCCCCACCCACCTGGCTAGATAGCAGGTTTGGAGGCCTCCCCAAACCATACCCCCTCATCTGCTGTCTGGCTCCCCATCTCCTGGAGTGCGGGGTGGGTCCCAGTCTTGATGCTTCCCCTCTCCTCAGCAAAGCAGACCTGGTTACTAATTACCCATGCACCTTTATTATTTCTTTTGTTTTATAAATTTATAAATAGCGAAAGGCTCTGATAAGGCCTGTGATCATTAACTTGTCGGGATGGTGGCTGGGAGATGCCCAGTAGGGGGAGGGGAGAGGGTGACCTAGGGGCTGTGGGGAACAACACCCCCTCCCCATTCCCAAAGCCTCTACATTCATGTGAATATCTCCCCGCTTGCTACTTTTTGTTGGGGTTTCATGGTGCCTAAATTCTCGTAATATGGACATGAGCCCCGAGAAGGAAGCTGTTACTAAAGCTTCACAGATAGTGAAACTGAGGCTCAGACTCGGACTGGGGCAGGAACTATGAAGGAAAGGGCCTAAGGGCTAGCTGAGGAGTTTGTGGCCAATCTCTGGAGAATATTCAAGAAGCAGCCTCTTTTCTGTCCAAGGTCCTGATCCTGACTTGGGGTGGGGGAGGGCTGGTGGAGCCCAGCATTTCTGGAAGTGTTGGGGAACCTCCCTGGGCCTTAGGCAAGGGGCAGGGGAGCAGTCAGGCCCCCTGGCTTGGCAGGAAGAAGAGGGCAAAGGGCTGCCTCTCTGCAGGGGGAGGGCAAAGAGCCAAGTATTGCCAGACCCAGGGCACAAGGAACCTGGATAGGGTGGGGCTGGGCCTGACCTGTTCAGGGGCCCCAGGTGGGACTTAGGGGCTCAGGTGTGAGGCTCAGGGGACAGGGGTGCCAAGGGTCTTCTTACCTGAGTAGGTGGGACCCCTCGATCAGCAGCCCCCATGGTGGGGGAAGTAGAGGCTGGAGCGGGGCTTGGTCCAAAGCTGCTGAGCAGAGGTCAAAGTGCTCCCTGGGGGCCAGCAGAGTCCTGGAAGCAGACAGGGAGAGGGACAGCAGGGAGGATGAGGAGGGAGAGAGCTGGAGGAGCTGGGAGAGCAGAGGAGCCAGGGAGGGCGAGGGTCTCGGAGCAGCTGGGAGAAGGGGCAGGGGACAGAGGCTGAGCTGGGAGGAGGCTGGAGCTCCTCTCCCAGGTTGGTTTTCTTTAATGCTAACAGCGTGCTATTTGCTTTCCATTTAAATTCGAGATGTTGCTATAAATTATCAACCAGCTCCTTGTTCCTGCGGAGTTTATAACTAACTACCTGGGTTACTTATTGTTCAGGTAACAAAGGGGACCTGAAAATGTCCCAGGGACAAAAGTGGGACCTCTAGTTTCAGGACAGGGGAGTGGGAACTCTGGGGAAAGGGCTGGACGACCCCTGCCTGATAAAGGCCAGGGCAGTGAGGAGGTTGAGGCTGGAAGAGGGGGTGGTGAGGACCAACTCCTTAGGGGAGCCGTTGGTTCAAAGCCCTACATTTGAAAGAGGACGGGTGGGTCTGGGGTCTGACCCCCATAAGCTCATGCGTGAGGCCACTGCAGACACCCCAATTCTCCTCTCAGATTTCTGTCCTTCAGATCCCTGCTGTGTGGCCTTGGGCAAGTCCCTTTCCTTCCCTGCCTCGGTGCCACCAGGTAGACAGGGAATAAAGGCAAATTCTCTGCCTTGGTTCTAGTTCTTCTCCTCCCCTCCCCCTCCCCCTCCCAGCCTCCCTCCCCTCCCACTTTACCCCTTCTTTGGTGCCTGTGATGCTGACTTTGGCCCTGGATGCACAAGCTGATGACCTTGGCTTGTCCTGGTCTTCCTGTTCAGGACCACCCCCCTCCTGCCCCACTTCTTCCTTGGCTCTTAGCTCCTATCTGCATGTGGGCTGTACCCCACTTTCTCTCCTTCACTGTGTCCACCTACTTTCTCCAGTTAACCATTTAGTTATTTCATTTGTCTCTGTGTCCATTTCTTTCTTTTTTTTTTAAAAGATTTATTTATTTATTATATATACAACATTCTGCCTCCATGTATGTCCACACGCCAGAGGGTGCCAGATCTCATTACAGATGGTTGTGAGCCACCATGTGGTTGCTGGGAATTGAACTCAGAACCTCTGGAAGAGCAGCCGGTGCTCTTAACCACTGAGCCATCTCTCCAGCTCCTCTGTGTCCATTTCTTGTCTCCAGGGAAAAGCTTGCGAGGTCATCATTCACCTGGGTCCCCCATCCAGCCCTGACACTCCAGGCATGAGGGAGCAAGAGATTAGCCTTCCCTGAGGACACCTAGTCCTCCTAGAGGAGCAACTGGGATCCAGAGTTTTAGCTGGACTGTTAACTGCTTAAACCCCAGCCTGCTGTTTCCTGACCCTCCCTCCCTGTCAAGCAGCAGGGTTCTTCCATCAGGGAGCACAGCAGTGAGGCAGCATGCAGGAGGCTTCACTGGACAGTGCCCTGCCTTGCTTCCCATCCCAGCTCTGTCCCTTTCCAGCCAGCATGGTGGGTTCTGTTCCCCAAGTCCCAGTTTCCTCTGAAGAATGGTAAGGACAATACTCAGTCACCGGGCCAATAGCATGACACACAGCTAAGCAGTATGGAACCTGTAATATGAGTAGTCCCATTTCATAGATGAGCAAAGGAAGGCTCAATGAGGCAAAATGACTTACTCAAGTAGTAAGACCAGACTTGGGCCTGAGATGGCTTAGCCCATGTCTGCACAGCACTCTTAAGTCCCAAGTCTGTCTTTGCATGCTTACCCATGCCCCCCAGCCTGTCTCTGCATAACTCCCAGCCTGTCTCTGCATGTTCATCCCCCCCAGCCTGTCTCTGCAGGCCTCCCAGCCTGTCTCTGCATGTTCACCCCACCCCACAATCATTCCTGCTGTTCAGCTTGACCGGAAATCCTTTCCCATGCAAGACTTTAAAACTTCCAAGAAGATGCCGGGCGATGGTGGCAGCATTGCATGTCTTCAGTCTAGCAGTCAGGAGGCACAGGCAGGTGGATCTCTGAGTTCGAGGCCAGCCTTGTATACAGAGTGAGTTCCAGGACAGCCAGGGATACACAGAGAAACCCTGTCTCAAAACAACAAAAACCAAAACCCTCACAAAAGGTTTAAAGATGTATTAAACTCGGGGTTCCCTCTGGACAGTTTCTAAAACACTCTCACACAAGCACTCGATACGGGGTCTCAAGTGCCAGATTTGCCTCAAACTTGATATATGGAGAGTGACCTTGAACTCCTGTTCCTGCCTCTACCTCCCAAGTGCTGAGATTATAGGCATGTGCCACTATGCCTGCTTTGTTTTGTGATTGTTATTATTAGTATTATTTTATGCAGGGCTTCTTTGTGTAGTTGGGCTGTTCTAGAATTCACTTTGTAGATCAGGTTGACTTCAAACTCAGAGAGCCTGCCTCTTCCTTCACCTCCAGACACTGATTAAAGGTGTGTGCCTCTACAACCTGCACCAGCTTTACGTGATGCTCGGACTGAGTTCGGGGCTTCGTGCTTACTAACTGAGCTATATCCCTGGCCTGAGAAACAGGAAATATCTTTAGTTCTACTTTATATATGAAGAAATGGGGGAACGTGGATGCTAAGCCACATTGCAAGGCCATTGAGAGAGTAGCCGAGCTGGGAATCTTCCTCAGAACTAAACCTGACCCCTTCCCCCTAGTAAGAATTTGGCTTCCTCTCCAGAGGAGTGGCCCCTCAGGCTAGCCTCTTAGCTCCATGGTCTGGATACCAGAGAGCCAAATGCCCAACAGTGGGGACACCTGTTTGACTCCAGAATAGGGAGATAAGATGAGGGGAGAGCTCCACTCTTCCGGGTTCTGCTGAGGGGGCAGGGGCACACAGGGTCACAGTGATATTGATTATAACAATATCATTCCACATACTGAACCCTTGATGTGGGCCAGGCTCTGTCTTCACCCCCACTGGGGACCCATTTACTTCTTCCAGCAGAGTCAGAATGAGTGTGCATATGCTTGCTCGCATGTGTGAGGGAGGGAAGAAGGGAAGGAGAGAGAGAGAGAGAGAGACCTTGGCTGACTATAAGAAAAGCCCCACCTGTACTGAGAGCCAGGTGACCAGTCTCCCTGCAGAGGAGGGAGGAGAAAAAGTAGTGAGGGCCAGAGGGAGGGAGGAGAGCAGGGCGAGGGCTGCCCTTGCCCGAGGAGGGAGGCCACCAGATAAATATGTTTGCAGAAGCACAAGCTGGACTTTGTCCCCGCTTCTCCCAGCCCTGACTGGCACCCGGGAAGGGAAGAGGGGTGAGACTCCAAGGACCCTGAACACAGGGTGAGAGAGGAGGCAGGAAGGAGTGTGCAGGTGGGGTCCCTGGTGATGAGAAGTATTCTTGAGTCCCAGCAAGATCAACCTGGGACAAGGTTTCTCTTTTCTGAGCCTGAGTTTTGCCAGAGGTGGAGCCAGAGTCCAGATGGAACATACTTCCTGGGTTCGCTGTGAGATGTAGGCTGCTCCCAGTGACCCCGGAATTTATCTTCATTTCTTTGCTGTGCCGGGTTCAATTAATCCATCCACTTTCTTTGCGCCCCTGCTGCTCTGGTAACTGCTGCTAACAGGAGGGAGAAGAGGGTCTAGGCCGGTGGTTCTCAACTTTCTTTCATGTTACGACCCTTTAATGCAGTTCCTCATGTGCTGACCCCCAGCCGTAAAGTTATGCTCGTTGCTACTTCCTAGCTGTGGTTTTGCTGCTCTCATGAATAGTCATGTCAATCTCTTTTCCAGGGGTCTTAGGAGACCCCTGTAAAAGGGGTCATGACCCACAGGTTAGCTGGCCATGGCCCTGCCTGTGAGAACCGCATTCTCCAGGCTGTGAAGCAGAGCTGACTTTAGGAAGGAAGGAGAGGGGCTGTGGGGCTGGCTTCAGAGTGCTGGGGGAGGGATTCAGTTGGGAATGTTAGATGCAGCCAGTCCTCTGTGTCACTGAGTTCCAAACCTGCAGATTCAACCAGCTGGGGACTGAAAAGAGTGTAATGGCTTCTGCACTCAACCTGTCACTATTATCTAAACACTGTGTAAAGCGGCCGTTAGGTGGCGCACCTGCTGCAACCCGAGCTGATTAAAGTGGACAGAGGAGGCTTAGGGTCTGTGCAAGTCCTAGCCTACTCCTTTTACCTTCAGAGACAGAATTGCACTGTGCAGCCCCAATGGGCTGCAACTCAATATACAGACCAGGCTGGCCTTGAATTCAGAGATCCACCTGCCTCTGCCTCATGAGTGCTGGGATTAAAGGCATGTGCCACCTCTGACTGGTCTCAGTCTGCACTCTTATACACCCTAGGACCACCTGTCCAGGGGCGGCCTGCCCACAAAAGTCTGGTCCCTAATCAATCACTAATTAAGAAAATGCTGTACAATCTTGCCTACAGGCCAATCCTTCCCACCCCTAGACAGGGTTTTCTTGTGAAGCCCTGGCTGGCCTCAAACTCAGAGATCCACCCATCTCTGCCTCCAAAATGCTGGGATTAAAGGTTTGCACCACTACTGCCTGGTTACAGATCAAGTCTAGCTCATGTTAAGCTGTCTAAAAACAAAAGCCAAACAACCAGACAGGTCGCCATCCATCTACCCAAGCAACCTTATTCATCATCCATCCATCCATTTATTCATCATCCATCCACCCATCCATCTCCATCCATTCATCCACCCACCCATCCATCCATCTACCCATCCATCCATCTACCCATCCATCCATCTACCCATCCATCCATCCACCCATCTATCCATCCATCCATCCATCCATCCATCCATCCATCCATCCATCTACCCATCCATCCATCTCTATCCAGCCAGCCAGCCAGCCAGCCAGCCACCCATCATCCATCAACTCATTCACTTGTATGTCATCCATGACATACTCCATGTCAGGCCATTTTGGGTTCTGGGACCCATACAGTTCTTCCTACCCTTAACAGCTGTTTGAAACTCACTTGGGGGCTGGAGAGATGGCTCGGAGGTTAAGAGTCCTGGCTGCTCTTCCAGCGACAATTCCCAGCAACCACATGGTGGCTCACAACCATCTGTAATGCGATCTGGTGCTCTTCTCTCGTGTGCAAGCAGAGCACTATGTATATAATAAATAAATCTATAAAAAAAAAAGAAACTCCCTGAGCAAGGCCTGTGAGGTGGCTCAGCAGGTAAGAGTGCTTGCTACAGAAACCTGGTGGCTTGAGTTCGAGCTGCAGGACCCATGGAAAGATAGGAGGAGAAAACTGTCTTCCACACACTTACTGTGGCACGTGTGCACATACACGCACACACACACACTCATGAGCAGGTTCAGTAGAGGGGAGGAACTTGGAAGGAGTCACAGTTTGAGGGTCTTCCCTACTTGATGGGCAGTTTCCAGTGGGAATCTGTTCCTGCATCCATGGGTCCCAGTATGGGACCCAAGTCCAGGTCCTACCCACAGAGCAGAGCCACAGTCCTCAGGACCCCAGCCTCACCTGAGGTATCAGGAAGGGCCACTGAGCAGACCCTGTCCTTACTCCCTTCCAGGGAGGACCCATGGCGCGTGGCAAAGATGGTCAAGTCCTATTTGCAACAGCACAACATCCCACAGCGGGAGGTGGTGGACACCACCGGTCTCAACCAGTCCCACCTGTCGCAGCACCTCAACAAGGGCACCCCCATGAAGACGCAGAAGCGAGCTGCTCTGTACACCTGGTACGTCCGCAAGCAGCGAGAGGTGGCTCAGCGTAAGTAATGGCCCCAGCCTGTGTCTTCCCGGGCAGGCCCCGCAGCTCTCCATAGCTCATAGTGGGGTGGGAGTGTTGCCACCCCCATCACACAGACAAGTGAGACAGAGAGGGAGCCAGAAGGATGTCCCCAAATTTACCGCCCACTCTGCACAAGGCACTGAGGGAAGGGAGCAGGGCTGGTACCCAGGATCTGCAGATAAACAAGCTGTATCTCTCCTTCCAGGAGCACACTGCTCAAAGGGAAATAAGAGAGATCACCATGATATAGTAAGACATGGATTTTGGGCGGTGGTGGTGCACACCTTTAATCCCAGCACTCAGGAGGCAGAGGCAGGCAGATCCCTGTGAGTTCGAGGCCAGCCTGGTCTACAAGAGCTAGTTCCAGGACAGGCTCCAAAGCTACAGAGGAACCCTGTCTCAAAAAACAAAACAAAACAAAACAAAAGACATGGATTTTATATGCTAATGACAAATCCAGAAATGGTATTAATTGAGCCCTCACTGTGTGCTGGGCTCGGTGCTGAGGAAAATGGTGAGCAGACTGTGAAGGGAAAGAGGAAGCCCTTCTAGCTCAGGTTTTTTTTTCAGGAAGGTCTGTGAGCAGCATGGCCATTCCTTAGGTCGTAAAGTGTCCCTGCGGAGGTATAAAGAAGGGTGTCGCAATCAAGAGGCACAGCACGAAAAGGCTCAGAGGCAGGGGTACACCCATTACTTAAGCAATGGTTCTCAGCCTTCCTTACTTGGCCTCCCTTTAATACAGTTCCTCACATTGTGCTGACCCCACCATAACATTATTTTATTGCTACTTCATAACTGTAACTTTGCTATGTTACGAATCATTATGTAAATGTATGCTATTTAATCCCTGTGGGATCGTGACCCACAGGCTGAGAACTGCTGGCTTAGAAATCGCTGAGTTTCATACTTGGGAATGAACTCATGGCCTCACACATGGTATGCATATGCATGTGCTCTATCGTGCACAGAGCTAAGTTCCCAGCCTTCTGTTTACTTTTGAGACAGGGTTGTGGCCCAGGTTGGCCTTGAACTCATGGTCTTGCTGACTTGCCTCCCAAGTGCTAGGATTACAAGTGTGTTCTGCCACATCCAACTTGATATCACTTGTTCTCAGGGTTCTCAGAGCGGTCTGTGCCACTTAGGGTTTTTCTGATATGCTCTCATGATCCTTTTTTGCAAAGGACATCCACACAGAAAAGTTCCTATGTTGTGGGGTGTTGATGTGCAGAGGAAGTGCTTTTAAAATCATTGATGAAGCCAGGCAATGACAGCGCACACCTTTATCCCAGCTCGTGGGAGGCAGAAGCAGGTGGATCTCTGAGTTCAAGGCCAACCTAGTCTACAGCGTGAGCCCCAGGATAGCCAGGGCTGCAAAGAAACCCTGTCTCAAACAAACAAAACAAAACAAATAAAAAACCCCACCTAAAACAATAACAGAAAAATGGTTTCTGAACAGCCATGAGATGGTTGGGGGGTAAAGTGCTGGCCGCCCAGTGACTTGAGCTGGACCCCCAGATCCCATGATGGAGGTTTTTGTTTTGTTTTTAGATCTATTTTACTTAATTTTAAAAGTATGTGTATAGACATGTGTCCCTAAATATGTATGCAAGTCTGTATGTTACTTGCGTGTGTTTTCAGGCTGACCATTTGGTACTGGATGACCAACTGGCGTGCTCTGCCCTGGGGAGGACCATCTCTTCCGCTCTCAGCCTTCAATTGCCTTTAGATCTTGTGTGGAGTTTGGGCCTATGCACCCCTCTCCCACACAGTCTGGCATGTTGTTGTCCTTGTCCACCTTGTTCAGCTCATCTTGGCAATTGTCCTGGTGAGACTCTATGGGCGCAACCTCTGACATCCCTAAGAGACCCAGTCTCGCAGAAAATCCCCTTACCCTCTGGCACTCAGTCTTTGTGCCCCCAGCCGGAAATGCTCCCTGAGCCTTCCATACAGCCAGGAGGGGATTGGTTCCATTTTATTTATTTGTTTTGTGTGTGTGTGAGAGAGAGTGTTTTGCCACCATAAGTTAAGTCTGGGTGCCTCCTGTGTGCCTGGCGCCTGCAGAGGGAGGCCAGAAGGCGTCGGATTCCTCAGCGCTATGGTCACAAATGGTGGTGAACCCTGTCGTGGGTGCTGGGAACTGAGTTCTCTGGAAGCGCGACCAGTGCTGAAGCCATCTCTCCAGCCCCCAGTCCAGAGTTTTGAACTTTAAGGGAAAAACTGAAGGATGGGAGAAGAAGTTCGAGAGCTCTCTCAGGAAACTGATCTAAGAATTTTAGGAAAGGAATTTATTGGCTCATGAATGTGAGCAGTTCAGGGCTGTTTCAGGCATGGCTGTCTCCAGGGCCTTAACCGACTTTCACACACTTAGTAGCTTGGTATGGCTCTGTTTCCCTCCTCCCTTCTCTCTCTCTCTCTCTCTCTCTCTCTCTCTCTCTCTCTCTCTCTCTCTCTCTCTCTCTCTCTCTCTCTCCCCCTCTCTCTCTCTCCCCACCCCTTCCTTTCCCTCTCCCTCTCCCTTCCGGCTCACGTGTAGCCCACTGTAGCCTCAAACTTGCTACGCAGTGGAGGATGACTCTTGCACGGTTCCTCCTGTCTCCACTTCCCACATGCTGAGTTCAGAGCTGTGTGCACCATGTTGGCTTGGCTGGTTGGTTTTCTCCTCTGTTGGCATGCCTTCAGGGGCTCTCCTCACAGGGCCACAGACTGGTCCTGGGAACCCTGCGTCATCATCCTATCTGCTCAGTAATCTCAGAGGGGAAACCAGCCTTCCAGTTTTCACTTCAATAATAACAACAACAAAAAAATCCTTTAAAAATATACAAAAATCTACACATCTTTTGGTGGTGGTGTTTTTTTGTATTCTTGTTATTTTATTTTATTTTTTGGAGACAGGGACTCACTATGGAGCCTTGGCTGACTTGGAACCCACTATGTAGATCAGGCTGACTTTGAACTCACAGAGATCCACCTGCCTCTGCCTCCCTAGTGCTGGGATTAAAGGTGCGCACCACCACTTTTGGCTGACATTATTCCTTTCTAGTGAACATTTGGATTATTTTGATCTTTTGATTCTGTGAATCAGACTGCTCTGAATATTTTCGCTTGTGCTTTTTGCTAAAGGTGTGCACACAATTCTATTGGCTACGGAGTTAGTAGGTCTTGGTAGATCCTTGCCCAATCATTTTGCGTTCCAACCAGCAGGGTCTCAGCATTCTAGGGGCTTCCAAATCTTTGTCAACACTTGTTAATGTGGGTCTTCTTCATTTTCACCACGATGTACACGTGGTGATATTGGATTGTGGTTTTTAACTTGAATTATTTTGGTAACTCATGACATTGATCTTATCATATAGTTATTGGAGTTCATTTTTAAGAAGTACATATTTAGGACCAGTTGTGGTGGTTCATGCCTTTAATCCCAGAACTCATGAGGCAAAGTCAGATCTCTGTGAATTAGAGGTCTATATACCAAGCTCTAGGACAGACAGAGTTGCATAGTGTGACCATGTCTCAAAGAAAAAGAAATGCTATTCTTCATGAGGACACTAGTTCAATTCCTAGCACCCACATGAGGGGCTCAGTCACCTGCAACACCCTTTCAGGCCTCTGTGGGCACCCCACACATACGACATGCAGACACAAACAAAAATATTAAAAATAGATAAAGTGTTCCAGGTTTAGGGGCCAAGCTATAGTGTCTGGTATTATTCCTTTAAAAACGGCGTGGTGGGGTGTGTGGACGAACACAGGATAGACGAGACACGCGCAAAAGGAGGAGACAAGACACGCGGCTCCCACGTGGGTGCACTTTAATGGGGAGAGGGAAACACGATAAGGCATGGGGTGTGTGAGACACACAAGGGTGGGGGCAAGAGAGAGCAAGACCTCGTGGAGGCTCGCTTTTTAACGGGAAGCGCAAGGTTATCTGGGAGAAATGACCCGCACCTGGGCACGCCCGCGTGCACAGGTGTCGGTAATCCAGAAGGAGTCTGGGAGCTGTAGTTTCCAAGGGAACAACATCTGGTACCTCAGGTCTTAGTCCAAGCTCCTGTGGCCACTCAGTTGAGTGTGGACAGAAGCAAGATGGTTACCTCAGAGGCAGCATGAGTGGTGTGAAGGGCCACGCTGTGCAGACTGTTGCACCCTGCGCCAAGTTAATTAATTGCTTGTTGGTTTGTTTGTTTGCTTGTTTTAAGACAGAGTCTCTCTACGTAGCCCTGGCTGGGCTGGAATTTGGTATATAGAGTAGGCTGCCCTTGAACTCAGAGATCTGCCTGCTTCTACCTCTTGAGTGCTGGTACTTATGGCACCAAGTCCTCTTTTATCAGTGGATGGGGCTTGACTTTGAGTTGGACTCAGACTTCATGCATGCTAGGCAAGCCCTCTCCCGACTGGCTCACAGCTGCAGTTCAGATTAGATGTGTGTCTCAGCACCTTGGCAAAGACAGAGGGGGTAGGTCAGGTGAGCTGACAGTGAAGGTGGGCATGGTCAACGCCCTACTCACCTTTCTCTGTCCCACAGAGTTCACCCACGCAGGGCAGGGAGGACTGATTGAAGAGCCCACAGGTGATGAGCTGCCAACCAAAAAGGGGCGGAGGAACCGGTTCAAGTGGGGCCCAGCCTCCCAGCAGATCCTGTTCCAGGCCTACGAGAGGCAGAAGAACCCCAGCAAGGAAGAGCGGGAGACCTTAGTGGAGGAGTGCAATAGGTAGGGTGATGTTCCAGCCAGGGCTGAGGCCAAGCCGGGGAAGGGAAGGTGTCTCTGGGTTCTGGGGGAGGAGGCCTCGCCGGTCCTTGAGAACTCTTGCTGTCCATTGAGAGGAGTCAGTTTCTTCCCATTGTTTTGAAGTGAATTCTCAGCATTCCCCACCCACCCGGGCAACACTTGGCGGGGGAGGTGTCACTTGTCTCCTGTCATCTCCTCTACAGCCCTATATCTATTTTGTTCACTTCTTGACTAAGGTCAGAGAGGCTAAGTCCCTTGTCCAAGGTCACACAGCAGGACTCTGGGTCTGTCAATTTCAGCGAGTGGGTAGACTCCGCTGCTCAATGTCTCCTCCTTCCTCTGAGTCTGGCCTGGAGGCTCATGGGTGCCATCTTTGCAGGGCGGAGTGCATCCAGAGGGGGGTGTCGCCATCACAGGCACAGGGGCTAGGCTCCAACCTTGTTACAGAGGTGCGTGTCTACAACTGGTTTGCCAACCGGCGCAAGGAAGAAGCCTTTCGGCACAAGTTGGCCATGGACACATACAACGGACCCCCGCCAGGGCCAGGCCCGGGCCCTGCGCTGCCAGCTCACAGCTCCCCAGGCCTGCCCACATCCGCCCTCTCCCCCAGTAAGGTCCATGGTGAGTGCTGTGGGGGGAGGAAACTGGGAAAAGTGAAAGTGAAGAGGAAAAGGATGGGCAGAAGGGCCAGAGGGCTTTCCCCCACGGGGTGGCAACCACTCCAAACACTCTGCGCTCCACCCCTCCACTGTGGCTTGTGCGCTCCACCCCCCAACCCCACCCCCCCCCCCCAACCACTCCAGTCTCCCGCTTCTGTTTCCGCCCACTTCCTTCCCCCACTCTACCCTCCCTCCTCATTCCACCTCACGCAGCCAGACCCACACACTGGTTCACACCACCCAGACGCTCACCACGCTGCTCACCCCACTCCAGCCTAACTGGCCTCAGGATACTTCAGTACGACACAAGCACTGTGGATCTATGAACTAAGAAACCACGTCAGCTCAACTCAACTGTGTTCAGACCACGGTTCAACCCACCAATTCCCGTGCAAACCATTCAGTTTGACCAAACTAATTCCACGGGATCCAGTTCGTTATGCAGAGTGTATCCCTTGGAGCCTGGGAAGCGGAGCCAGGACCTCCTGAAGACAGGTCCTACAGTATCTCCCCTCACCACACACACCCTACCCTATACAGAATCACTTCTAGCTAGATGACTTATAGTGCCCGACACAGGGTAATTATCTTGCAGACAGTTAACTGCATTGGCTGAGGTCTACGGACAGGGGAAAATCCTGCACCTGTTCGGTACGAATGTGGATTTTTTTTTCAGATTTTTTTTATCTAACATTTGATTGAATCTGAGGCTGCCGCACCTGTGGCTAAGGGGCTGACTGTAAAGCTCAACTCGATTTAGTCCATTTCAATTGGATTTTGATCAGCTCAGCAAAAGCTCAATCCAGCTCAACTCATTTCTGGTCCCACTTAAGGAGATTTAATTTAATTTGGCCAGTTGCAGTCCACTCTGCTCTACTCAGTTCATTTCCATTAAGTTCTATGAGCACCAATTTGGCTCAGTCCCTTTGTTCTTTGAGAGTCTTCTACACAGAGCCGGACACACCAGGCAGTGGAGGACACGGGACCATGAATTAAAAGATCTGGGAGCAGCTAGCACAGGAGGAAAGCCGGGGTGCCAGAAAACAGCTCTGGTGTGGTGAGGTCTGTGGGGCAGGAGAGGACAGGAAAGAGGGCGCTGAGGCCAGACACTGTCCCCACTCCAGGTGTGCGGTATGGACAGCCTGCAACCAGTGAGGCAGCCGAGGTGCCCTCAAGCAGCGGCGGTCCCTTAGTGACAGTGTCTACGGCCTTACACCAAGTGTCCCCCACAGGCCTGGAGCCCAGCAGCAGCCTGCTGAGCACTGAGGCCAAGCTGGTGAGACCCCCGTGTGGAGACCCCTCCTAGCCCCATCTTCTATGGTTGGGAGACAGTGTGGGGACACTCTAACTCACCTTGACTTACCCTCCCAGGTCTCAGCCACTGGGGGTCCCCTGCCTCCAGTCAGCACCCTGACAGCACTGCACAGCTTAGAGCAGACATCTCCAGGACTCAACCAGCAGCCGCAGAACCTCATCATGGCTTCGCTGCCTGGGGTCATGACCATTGGGACTGGGGAGCCCGCTTCCCTGGGTTCCACATTCACTAACACAGGCGCCTCCACCTTGGTCATTGGTAAGCAGGTGGGGGTGAGTGGGGCCTCTGTGCCTCCTGCAGCTTGGGATCTGGAAAGAGCATCCATCCATCCATCCATCCATCCATCCATCCATCCATCCATCCAATTCCTACTTTCTGAGTGTCTGTATCTAGGCACCCATGATCCCAGAGAGTGAACCAAACAGAACCAATAGGCACAGTGTAGAAATTACACTGAAACCGTACCGTCTGAGAAGACTGTGAAAGCAGTAAGGGTGCATTGTGTGATGTTTTCTAGGTTTTTGGCTTTTTTTTTTTTTTTTTTTTTAAGTCTCAAACCCTTTCTATGCAGGAACTATTGCCCCGTGTCTAAGACAGGGAGCTGCTAGGAGAGGGGAGCAGAGAGCAAAGCCAGGGGCTTTGCCATTGCAGTGGAACCTCCAGGGCTCCAGGGAAGCCAGTGGGACAATGTCTCAGCTAAAGGCCTGGAGGGTGTCCCTCAGAGGGTCCGGGTCTAGGGCAGACAGAGTGGCGGGTGTGAGGCTTGGCTGACTCCTGCCTGTCTTGCACCAGGTCTGGCCTCCACTCAGGCACAGAGTGTGCCCGTCATCAACAGCATGGGCAGCAGTCTGACCACCCTGCAGCCGGTCCAGTTCTCCCAGCCACTGCACCCCTCCTACCAGCAGCCGCTCATGCCCCCTGTACAGAGCCACGTGACCCAGAGCCCCTTCATGGCCACCATGGCCCAGCTGCAGAGCCCCCACGGTGAGCATCCCCCATGTTGGCCTAGGGGAGGTGGGGTAGGGGAGGCTGTGGGTGGGCATAAGACAGGGCAGGTGCTGTGGTCTGCTTGTGTGTGATGCAGGCGTCTACAGGCCACCAACCTGTTTGTGTGTGTGTGCACAGGGGCCAGTGTGAACTTCTCAACGTGTGCAATGCTGGTGTCTACTGATCACGTTCCCAGCCTTGCTTGTCTGGGTGCTGGGGTGCAGGCTACCAGCTATTCTCTGAGGCCCTTGGGGCTGCGCATACTTCAGCCTACGACTTTCCCACTTTCAGAAAACTGGTTTGTGGCTATATCACCTTATATACTACTCCAGGCCAGCGTGGGCAGCACTGTTAGCCGTGCAATAACAGATGGGAATTACATGAAGTAGACCAAGGACTCATGCAGGGCTGGGGGAAATAGCTCGGTCAAATGCTGAAGAGGCATCCTTCAGAAGCCACAGGGCATGGGATGTGGCACTGTGTGCTTCCTGTAACTCCTCGGGGCGTGGGACGTGGCACTGTGTGCTTCCTAACTCCACGTGGCGTGGGACATGGTGGTGTGTGCTTCCTGTAACTCCACCGGGCGTGGGACGTGGCACTGTGTGCTTCCTGTAAGCTCAGAGCTGAGGCAGAGACTGACTGGTGATCCCTGGGCTCAGAACAGACAATCTGGCTTGCTTGCTGAGCTCCAGGCAAGTGGGAGAACTTCCTCAAAAGAGGGCAGGTTGAACCTGAGGATCTATTGGCCTCACATGCCTACACTTGTATGTGGATTGAAATGGAAACACACACACATTGTGGATTTTTTTTAACTATTCACTCTTTGGCTTTTTGGAGGCCTGCTACCCAGCTCCTAAATAAATCACACGGAGGCTTATTCTTAGTTATAAATGCCCGACCTCAGCTTGGCTTGTTTCTTGCCAGTTTTTCTTACATTATTTTGACTACCTTTTACCTCTGGGCTTTTTCCTTTTCTTACTTCTGTATATTTTACTTACACTGATTTTTGTTTTTAGAGACAGGGTTCCTCTGTAGCTTTGGAGCCTGTCCTAGAACTCACTCTGTAGACCAGGCTGGCCTCAGATTTACAGAGCTCTGCCTGTCTCTGCCTCCCAAGTGCTGGGATTAAAGGCATGTGCCACCACCACCCAGATTACTCACTCTTACTCCGTGGCTGGGTGACTGGGTAGCCAGGTAGCTGGCCTCTAGGTCCTCCACCTGGTTCTCTCCTTGCTCCTCTTCTTCCTTGTTTTTCTTTCTGTTTGTCCTCTCTGCCTGCCAGCCCCTCCTATCCCTTTTCCTGCCTCACTATTGGTCATTCAGCTCTCTTTATTAGACCATCAGGTCTTTTAGACAGGCAAAGAATCACAGCTCTGGAGTTAAACAAATGCAGCATAAACAAAAGCAACACATTTTTACATCATTAAACAAATTTTCCACAGCATAAAAAAAGTAATACACTTTAAAATATTCCCCAACTCTCTCTCTCTTTCTCACTCACTCACACAGCCTCACATCAGGTCTGCCTAAAGTGGCCTATCAAATGGGCCATGGGGCCAACCTTATGCAGTGCTTCGGGTTCAGACCTTTTAGACTTCAGCATGGAGACAGGGGCTATGGACTTGTGTGAGGCTGAATCTCTGCTGTGGTGGAGTTCCTGGGAGAGTACGGCATTACTCTGTGCTAGGCGAGTGTTCAAGTCTCTTGGAGAGGCTAGATGTGAAGCTGTTTCATGTTGGAGGAGCCCTGGAGACAGAGCCTCTGCCCGCCCACCTAGACGGAGGCCACCGGCCTTTCCTTCAAGGCCTGCATTTGGTACCAGGGCACCTGCGCTTCATGTGACAGCACCTTCGCTGTGGTGCCGCTCAGCATAGCATACTGAGCACAGTACTAAAGAGTGCCCGCACTTGGTACAACAGTGCCGCCTGCATTTAGTACAGCAGCATCCGCATCTAATACATCAGCTGTACTTAGCACTGGCCCCCTGGGGTAACGGGGGACAAACATACCATGAGCTGGAGTTGGTGCTGGGCCTTCCCCTGGCTGCTCCCCATTCGGTTTAGCAGAGCAGGTCCCTATGATGGGAAGACAGGGGGTTCATCTCTTCCAACTGGATCCCCAAGCACTGCCCCATGCCCACTTCCCATAGGGCACTGTCTTCAGGGAAGGGTCCAGGGAGCCACATCTGTGTCCTCTCCTCCCAGCCCTCTACAGCCACAAGCCTGAGGTGGCCCAGTACACGCACACAAGCCTGCTCCCGCAGACCATGCTCATCACAGACACCAACCTCAGCGCCCTTGCCAGCCTCACACCCACCAAGCAGGTAAGTAAGGCCCTGCCTCCTGAAGCCCCACCCAAAGCTCCACACTTCCTTGCCATGGGTTCAGGGCCTTACTCTGGTTGCCTAGGTCTTCACCTCAGACACAGAGGCCTCCAGTGAGCCTGGGCTTCATGAACCATCATCTCCAGCCACCACCATCCACATCCCCAGCCAGGACCCATCGAGTATCCAGCACCTGCAGCCGGCCCACCGCCTCAGCACCAGCCCCACCGGTGAGCGGTCTGCTGTCTCCCAGTAGGATGCGAGGTGGTGTGTGAAATGGACTGAGGGTGGATGGGGGGGTTGCCTCCTGTGTGGAGGTCAGAGGTCAATTTCAGGAGTCAGTTCTCACCTTCCACCATGTGGGTCCCAAGGATTAACATGAAGTTATCAGCTTCTTTATCTTCTTGTCCACCCCGAAGCACTCCTACCCACCAGGCCATCACCCCAGGACTCAGTGTTTAATATTCTTTGAGTGGCCAGAATTAAAAATTCAGTTTTTGTTGGGTGTGTTGGTCACACCTTTAATCCCAGCACTTGGAAGGCAGAGGCAGGTGGATCTCTGTGAGCCCCATGCCAGCCTGGCCTACAGAGTGAATTCCAGGACAGCCAGGGCTTCACAGAGAAACTTTGTTTTGAAAAACCAAAACAACAAACAAAACAAAACAAAACAAACAAAACCCAAAACAACTCAGTTTTTACCCAGGAGTCTGGCTCTGGCCTCATCTGGAAGCTGGGAGGGCTCATGTTCTTACATTATAACAGACCTGCATCCCTCAGCCTGTCCCACTCCACTACTAGGCTTACAGTGCCTGAGGTCTGCGGCTGGCTGTAAGGCAGTTTCTGGAGACACCGTCTCGCTATACGAATGGGAGCCATCTCCCACAGTGATGGCGGCAGATGGGCTGGGCTCGGGTCAGCCCCAGGGCTCGCTCTGTCACTCTCATCAGTTTGGGATCTCTCGAGACAGCGAAGATAGCATCCACACTGTGTACAGGGAGCCGTGGAGCACAGCTGCAGGCCAAGTACATCTGCCGTCTGTCTGGCAGACCAGCAGCAGGCTGGGACACACTGGGGACAGCAGCAGGCAGGAGAAATCCAGGAAGATTCAGTTTCCTCTCTAGTTTAAGGCTTCTGATTAGATGTGTGCAGCCCCCATGGTCAAGGGTAACTTCTTTTATTGAGAGCCAATTCACTGTTAACCACATCTTTTATAGATGTTTTATACACTTTCTGCGGAGCTGCATTTAAGTGTGAGGCCTTGGGTTCAAGTCCCAGTAATGCAAAAAACACTTCCAGCCATGTTAGTGCTTGACTCAGCCCAGCATCTGGGAGGCTTCCTGTGGGCCCGGAAGGGAGAGGGATAATCTAGGCTCTTGGAATCTGTTGTGATTCAGAAAGTGAGACTCTGCCTTCTCCCTCTGGAGCATCCATCCCTAGGGACAGACAGGTGGGGTGGAGGTCAGAGGGGACTTGGCCGACAGCCAGTGACCTCATTTGCTTCTGCAGTGTCCTCCAGCAGCCTGGTGTTGTACCAGAGCTCCGACTCAACCAACGGTCATAGCCACCTGCTGCCATCCAACCATGGTGTCATCGAGACTTTTATCTCCACCCAGATGGCCTCCTCCTCTCAGTAACCATGGTGACTGTCTCTCAGGAGCTGGGTCCCCAGAGCCTGCACTTCCTGCATAGGGGGCGAGAAGGGAACGGCCATGCTGCCTGGAGGACATCTGAGCCTGCCATGTGTTTCCTACCATAGGCTCCTGGCCTTCCCAGAAGTCTTTGCTTTCATCCCATGGTTACTCCTCCAGCATCAGAGAGGGATGGCTCTCTGCTGTCTCAGCTGAGAAGGGGACCACACAAGGCTGGAAGACAGCCTGATCTGGGAAGTGTTTTGGAAGCTGCTTAGAACAGAAAACTTGCTACTTGGAACAGAAAAGGGAAGCCTGTGATGCTGGCACCCCTAGTCAGAGTCTGCAGCCCCCACAGGATCTCTGTGCTGAGCCCTGAGGCCCTAGTTCCACACAGCCGCCTTCTGTCTCTGGTGCATCCCCAGGGCCATTCCACCCTGCGCCAGCACCTATCTGTGGAACACTCGCCCCACCCCAAACAGCCATTTTCCAAGTAGCTATTCTGTGAGGCCTGGGAGCTAAGGGGAAGGCACAAAGGGCTCGTCTAGGCTCTCTGGAACTGAGCCACCCGCTCCCAGCTCCAGGACCGCATTTACTCCCTCTGATGGACATGTCTTCTGATGCCAGCCTCATTTCTTGCCTCCACTAGAAAAGCCGCTTCAAAGATAGGGGTTGTCATCCCTGTTCCTTAGGATGTGTGACTCGCCATGTCCCGGGCCATCAGCTCCTCTGGTTTTAGGGCCCTGCAAACTCTTCCTTCCTGGTGCAAGGGAGGCAGAACTCAGAAGGCAAGTCTGGGCAGTGTCTGGTGGAGAAAATGCTGAGAGCAGCCGAGAAATCACCTACATGGCCTGGGCTGAAAGCCAGGCTGAGGAACCCGAGGTCTTGAGTGTGACTGTGAGAACCCAGAGCACACGTGACCTCATCTCCCTGGGTCTACTGCAGAGGATCTGGCTCTTAGGGGCTCTTGTCTGGGTCTGAAGAGCCTAGAGAGCATTGTCCCCTGCAGCGTACAGTCAGCTATGGACAAGCCTGTACATTTATTTAACTTTTAGTAAAGTCAAAGAAAAATGTATGGAAGCTTCCTGCTTATCCTTCAGCAGCTGGAGGGAAGGCAGAGGGAAGCTGGGCACAGGCCAGGGCCCTGAGGCATAGACAGCCCTGAGACACATGGTCACACGTCTGTTTCTCTTGTGTCACTGGAAATGAGGCGAGGAGACACCACCCGAGCCTGTGCCTCCTCCTTGCAGATTCACTGCAAGGAACCCAAGTCCGCATGGGATGCCGTTCCCGGAGTCTTGAAGCTGGGGTGAGGAAGCAGATCTGGGGGATGGGAGGCTCCCACGTGTGGTTTTTAAGACGTCCCCTAACTTTCAGCACTGAGGGTGGGATGCGGTTCAGTGGTAGAACACTTGCCGAGCAAGCGTGATCACCCAACACTACAGTACTGACAGCGTATTCCTGTCTCCCTACTCAGGAGGCAGAAGCAGGAGACTGGCGGCCGCAGGCCAGTCTGAGCTACACAGAGACTCTTTCAGACAAACAATAAAGCAGAGAGGGTCAGCACCAAGCGGGGCAGTCCCTAGGCTACGTCTTGGGTCACTGATAATTTATTTTCCCTTTTCTCTTTGGTGCTGGGGACAGAACTTACTTGGGGCCTTGCAGCCAAGCCTGCACCCTAAATTAAGTAGGTCCCCAGTACTCTGGCGCCTGACGCAGTAACTGACCTGACTTAGACATGTTTTTATGGATGGTATATTAAAAATTTTGCAGTAAGAAAATTCTGGGGAAAAAAGGAGGGGGTTATCTTTCCTTCTTTTCCTGGCAACGCTGTTGAGTCTGTATGGGCTGGGGGAGGGGTACAAACTTTCCCTGGGCCTCAGTAGTACCCTGGAGACCCTTCCCCTCATTTCTAAAAACCACATGTCACACCTGGCTGGGCAGGTAGGGGAGATGGACGCTCTAAGACTCAGTCTTAGAAACTGGAAGTGCCCTCTGTCCTGAGGTAATAGAACGTTCTGGAACCACAAGCCCAGCTAAAGTCACTGTGGGCGGAGGCGGTGCTGGACCTGGAGAGCGGCTTAGCTTTGCCTGGACTCTACAGGCGCCTCAGCCTCAAGAGCTGGCGGCTATGATGCCTCAGCCTGGAGTCAGTCTGCAGGCCCAGCTGCTGCACACTCTGCTGGGGGGCGCAGGGAAGCCTCCCTGGCTGTCTTGGCCTTTTTCTTCTTTTTCTTCTTTTTGGTCCCAAGTGATGCTGGGTCCCCATTGACGGTGCCTGCCTCCTTTTCCTGTTTCAGGCCTGTGGCTCCGGTTAAGTCAATGTCAGCCTTCTTCTTGGCTTTCTTTTTCAATTTCTTTCTCTCCACCTCCTTCTCCACCTCGGCAGCACAGTGTATGGCTGACTCCTGGAGAATGTCCGAAGCAGACACAGCTGCCTCCCGGCACCGCTGCCACTCCTCGTCACTGTCGTCACTGCTGCCGGGGAGAGCAGCTGGATTAGCAGGAGACTGGACGGGACTCACAGCTACCTTGTCGCCTCTAGACCAGGTGGAGGCAGCCAAGGAGCTGGGGCTCAGGTCTGAGGCAGACTCAGGCTCCAAGGTCAGCTTGTCACTTTACCTTTCTGACCTCAGCACTCCCATCTACAATGAGGACCTTGACAGCACCCAAACAGAGGCAAGAATGATACAGGGAGGAATCTGGCCCAATGCATGGAGAGCCTTAGCTCCCCCGAGAAGACCCTGTGCACTTCCTGCTGGGGCACACTGCCCTAGGATCTGACAGGCTTCTTCCTTTGATCTGGACCTGACTCAGCTACTTCACAGGATCAGCCAGGAGAGGAGAGAGAGGAGAGGCTGTGGGCTCTCACCTGGAGCTGGGGGGCTGGCGTTTTCGGCATGGTTTCAGAGAAGCTTCCTTCTTGTAGCCTCCGGGGATAGATGTGAAGAAAAGGCGGAAGCCTACAAATCGTGGGGATAGAGTCAGGATTGGGAGAAGCAGGCACTGACCCATCCAGTTGTTGAGGCTACAGTCTGTCCTCGGGGCCCCCTGCCATGTGTGTGTAAACTGAGGGCTGGCTTGCTCTTCTGTGGAGCCAGAGGACAGAGGGCTTGAGGGGCACCCACCCACTGGCTGCCAAACCAGACAGTAAGCTTCAGAAGCTTCTGGTGGACTTTGAGACAGCGTCATTCTATGTAGCTCTGGCTGTCCTGCAGCTTGCTATGTAGACCAGGCTGGCCTTGAACTCACAGAGGTACACTTGCATCTGCTTCAAGTGCAGGGATTAAAAGTGTGTGCCACCACACCTGGCCTTCAGAAGCTTCCAGAAGTCAGGAGTTGCATCTCTCACCTGCGGCAGCCTCCAAAGAGGCTCAATTATAGGACAGGATCAGACAGAGTAGACGGGAAAGACTGTGGGACAAGAAGGCAAAGCGCTTCTGCAGGTACCGGAGCTAGCTCACTCTGGGAATGGGTACCATAATGCCTGCCTCAGAGTGTGGGGAGAGCAGATGTAAGAAGAAACCGGCTCCCTGCACGGCTAGCCCTATGGCGCTCCGTGCACACGGTGGACCTCCCCAGGGCAGTGTCCACCAGCACCTCAAGGACTCACCGTCCTCTGCCTCTGCCACGGGCTGCACCTCTGCCTTGCATGGCTTCTTCCACACTTCTGAGACAGCGATGGAGCTAAGGGAGAGCAGGTGCAAGACTTAGGATGACATTATGGGTAGCAACAAAAGTACCTTTTGGTTTTAAATCTAAAAACTTTCTATTTCTTTTTTTTTTTTTTTTTTTGCTGGGTTTGGGGCATAAGACTGTAACCCCAGAACTTGGGAGGGTGAGGCGAGAGGATCTCGAGCTCTAGCGTGCTCCTGCTCACCTGTCCAGCATGGCTCCCAGCTTCTTGGCCACAAAGGCTCGGAACTCAGGTGTGGTCTGAAGCTCATTGCCATCTTCGTCATGCTTGTTCACCTCGCGCCTGTAACACACGGAAGGCCATCACTTCCTGACAGCTTAGAAGCTGCCCCCACAGGAGAGGGCCCACGTGTCTTGTTCCTGCTGCCACCCTGTCGCCTAGCCTAGCACCTGGAACACACAGTGACTCAGAAGCTTCTGTCCGAAGCACAGTACCTGTGGCTTGGCTGGGACGCCGGCACCTGTTTACCTGCAGCATCTGTGGAGCGAGGAAAATGAGGAGTTTAGTTTACAGAGTGGAGGATAGCGGCGTGGGCTAGGTACATTTTAGATGATTTACACGTATGGCTCAAGGGTGTCCCCGGCCCCGCCCATTTCCATTTGGGGTCAGAGACATGTAAAATAATATGGCTAGAGTCTAAAAACTAATTCCTTTTTTGAACCCAGATTTTGTTACATAGCCCAGGTTAGCCTTGAGCTCATGCATGACTAATAGCTGATGTAATGGGGGTTAGAAAGAGGGTACAGGTCATCTGGTTCCGGAGGCCCTGTTAATGTTTAACAAGCAAACCTAGTGTGATATGAGTATGGTTTACTGAACGTCTACTATATGGGGAGTAGGCTGTGGAAGAAGAAACTGGCTTTTGTGAGGATCACTGCGGATGCTGATGGTGGGCAGAGTGATGAACGGCTGAACGACTATTAATAACCAGGTGCCCCACCCGCCGTACAGCTCAGACAAGCGTCGGTGTCCTCAGAGGTCTTACATTCCTGGTGAAAACAGATGCTAAACGACAGTTAAAAAGCACAAAAGAAAAAGACAGGAGAGGAGAGCACAGTGTGTGTGGGGGGCTCTTCCTCCACAGGGGGGCAAGGAGGGCTTTGTGAGGTAACTGATGGACAGAGATCTGAGAGGGGAATACCTGGAGAGTCTTCCAGGCAGGGGGGGAAGCAAGCTGCAGAGGCAGGAACCTGGGGTGCTGATACACTTGTTCTATGTCAGTGCACTCTCAAAAGCCTGATGCCCCTGGATGTGGATGTCTGGGAGATGGACACCTGTCTTCCGTAACATGAAGTCACGAAGAGCAGCTCCCATTATAGCAATGACAAAGTCCTCCCAGGACACAGAAAAAGGCTCCAACTCCAGACCCAGGGTGAGCCATTTAACTCTCCAAGTTTTTGGTTTTTACACCTATAAACTGAGGAAATTACCTCCCAGCAAAGGTAAGTCAGTTCACCAGGCACTTGCCCCCGGATCATGGTAAAAGGAGAGAAAGGATTTCTGATCTCCATATGTGTACGGGGCACCCGTGTGCATGTGCACATGAGTACACACACGCAAAATAAAACGTAATACAAAATTTAAAGAACACTTTTTGTTCCTTTGTTTTTTGAGACAGGGTTTCTCTGTGTATCTTTGGAGCCTGTCCTGGAACTAGCTCTATATGCCAGGCCGGCCTCGAACTCACAGAGATCCACCTGCCTCCCGAGTGCTGGGATTAAAGGCGTATGCCACCACCGCCCAAGCTAAAGATCACTCACTTTTTAAAGGCTATGGAAGCACACGCCTTTAGCCCCAGAATTCAGGAGGCACACACAGACATCTCTGTGAGTTAAGGCCAGTCTGGTCTACATAGTGAATTCCAGTCAGGCCACTAGAGAGAGACCCTGTCTCAAAACAAAACAAACAAACGAAACCAAACACCCTTCACAGTTGGTGTCATACACTTCCGTTTCATGTCGACCCCCTTCCTAGACTTGAAATGTTTACTGCTGTAGGTTGGTGTTTGGGAACCGACTCACTTGTGGGAGTCAATTCTCTCCTTCCGCGATAGGTACTGGGGATCCACACAAGTTGTAGGCGTGTGTGGCAATTGCCATCTACTGATATAGAAATGGTCTAAAGATTGCAGGAATGTTAAAGTAGAGAAGAGTGTAAACGATTTCTTTCCAACATTATATTGTGAACAAGA